TGTTTTTTGGTGCCCAACTCTATCCAACTCCGTTGCTCACCCCCGCCCCGCCCTCCTCCTCCGTCTGCCCCCTCTCCGCTCTCCCTCTCTCCCCTCGACGCCCTCCTCGCTTGGTTTGTTGCACGGCGTCATCTGGAGGGATACCCGAAAATATATATAATTATGTATCAAATGGTTGCCCCCGCCTCGGATCGGCTCGACTCTCTGCTCCTCCTGCCTGGTGTGGAACGACAGATCAAGGGCAAGGACTAGAGGGCACGGTCAGGCAAAGAAAGTAGATCAACGGGCGAAGCAAGAGACCAATTGGCCAACTCCTTGTCACCTTGGGCCAGACGGACGGGTGGGCAACGATCCTTAGTTGTTTTCTCGCTCTCTCGCTCTCTCGCTCTCTCGCTCTCTCGCTCTCTCTCGCTCTCGCGCCAATCGTATTTGTAATCGTGCATGTCGTCAAGTAAGCTTCCACCGGCGTATGTTGAGCTGCTCGAGGCGGTGGCCCAAGAGCTGGCGAGGCGTGCGGCGACGTCGCGCGACGGACAAGTCCGCCAGGCGTTTCCCTCCAAATCGATTCTCGGCACGCTCGGCTCGCGCTCAAAGTCAGTGATGCAGCGAGTGCGGAGTGCGGTGGCCCGCGACGCGTCGGCAACCAACCTGCACTCGGTCCTCGCCCAGTATGGCTCGGCCTTTGGCATCGAGTTTGACGCCGAGACCGACTCGATCGCACTCTCGACCACCCTCCCGCCGGCCATGATCTCGCAGTTTCGCAAGAAGCGCCCGCGTCCGGGCTCGGACGCCTTTGACGCTCTCCTCGAGACCGCCGCCCAGCGGCTCGCTGCCGAGCTCGCCTCGCGCCAGGCGAACGCCATCCCGGCCACCGAGCTCGGCGCCCGCCAAGAGATGGTCGACATCCGCGCTGCCTACGTTGCAGCAGGCATGCTCGAGAACTACAAGCTGCACTCGGTACTCCAAGCCCCACCGTTTGCCAGCCGCTTTGTCATTGTCAAGGTTGGAGCCGGCCCGGGCTACGAGATCCGCCTCCGTCCGGCCCTCGGCAGCCGCTCGTCGTCAGCCTCGCTCAGCACAAGCTCGTCCTTCGGCTCGGTGAGCGGAGGCAAGGCTGCGACTGCTCGCGCAATCTCGCCAGCGCATGGCAATGCAGTCGACCCGTACGGCCGCGTCGCCGCCGTCCATGGCCGCGCCGCCCACCCGGCCCCGCGCCCTACCCCCTTTCCGGATCTCTACCCGTCCGACGCACACTTGGGCCTCGGCGACCACGGGCGGCGGGCGATGCGGCTCAGCGGCATGTTTGCCGAACCGCACGCGGCGACCTCGACCACGAGCTCGAGCCCGAGCTCAAGTGCCAATGGCAACTCCAGCCAAAGTAGCGGCGGGTACAACCTTGCTGGCGCCCAGGGTCAAGCCCAAGCCGCACCGTTCTCCTTTGTCACGCGAGGAACGCTCCACCAGTTTTACGCCGAACTGGACCGGCTGCCGCCGGCGTCGATGCTCGCGCTCGACGCCGAAGGCACGCTCGATGCCGAACAGCCGACCATTCCGCTGGTCCAGGTCCATCTGCCGGCGCCTGTCTCGCAGACGTATCTCTTTCATGAGCCGACGTGGGATGCCGAGGCGGCCGGCGCCGGGACGACCGGCTCGATGTGGGACCACCTGCGGGTCCTTGTGGCCGACGCCGAGTTTACACTTGTCGTCTTTGACGCCGCCCGCCTTGCCGGCGCCCTCCTCGCCACAGCCTCGCCCCTGGACCTTGGTGCCGGGCGCACCATCCACGACGCCCGCGTCATCGACATTGCCGTCGCGGCGTGCGTTGTTGCCGGCAAGCGGCTGCCACCGACGCACGGGCTCAACGAGTGTCTGGCCGCCATCGGCGCGGGCAGAAACCGCTTTGCCGACGTCGTGCCGGCAAGCGCTGTCCGCAGCGCTACCACCTGGGCCCGTCCGCTCCTCGCGGAGCAGGCGACTCGCTACGCGGTCGGCGACGTGGCGCACCTGGTGGCCGCCGCCGAGCGGGCCATGGCCAGCGTCTCGGCGGTTCAGGCGCTCCGCATCCAGGCCGAGTCGCTGGCGGCGACCCGCGCAGCCGTCGCGGCCCGACTCGCTGGCTCGGATGCAGTGACCAAGACGCTCGCGGTTGGCCTTGATGCTGCCGCGTCCGGCTATGTCTTTGGCCGGCTGGCCGGCGGTGGCGGCGGCCTCACTCTGCTTGGCGAAGCCGATAGTCCGCTGCCGGACCGCAGTGGCGTCGGGAGCGCCGGCCCGCCGCTGCCGCGCCAGAGCCAGGCCACACCGCCACCGGCGGCTGCCATTGCACTTGCCTGCCTCCCGACTCACCTCGCCGGCCCTGTGGCGGCCACCATCGACGCGCACGGCGGGCTCGAGCGGGTGGCGGCGCTTGGTGTCGACGTCGGCGCGCCCATCATTTGTACGTTTGCCGGCGGACGCGGCGCGGCGGCGCTCGCGGCCAGCTCCAGCGTCGTCACCGACGCCGACGTCGCCGCCATTCTGGCCCGCCTCGCCATGCTCCAGCGCGCCGAGTCGGCGGAAGCAGCGCTTGCTATGACGACCTCGGGCGAGCTGCGCGCAGCCGACGAGCGCGGCACCCCCGCGGTGGCGCCTGTCGTTTACGGCGGGAGTGTGGTGGGCGAGGCCAGCTTTGGCGTGCCGGGCGTCGCTCTCCGGGTCTCGCAGCTCCCGCCGCTTGTTGCCGGCGGCGGGCCCGGCGGCCTTACCCTCGCGGTCGGGCACGACTGGGACGCAGCGACTCTCCCGGCGGCGGTCCTTCTCGGCGATGTGTGCGAGGGAGCGGCGAGCACCCGCGGCGGAAGCGAGTCAATACTCATTGTAGGCCCGCGGCGGTCGGGCAAGACGTCGCTCCTCCGGGCCGTCGCCCGACGCGCCGCCGCGCGCGCCCGGCACGTCCTCATTGTCGACTC